TCCCATCATCAGATTGCTTGGTTGGGGAGAGGGGTGAGCATGAGAAGCATGGTGGCTGGGCATGGATGGCTGCTCATGTCTGTGGTGGAAGCTGAGGACCAGGGGCAATGTTTGGACAGTTGATACTGACCGAGACTCTGGAGAGACTCTCCCTCAATGTGTGGTCTCCGGCATGTGTCATTTCCAAATACCAAGTGCATGATTCCATTTTCCTCCTCCCTTGGTAGCCTCTCTGAGCTTTAGCTGCCTTGCTTCTCTATAGGTTGACTGCTCCATCTGCTTGTGGTGCATTAGGCTGGGCTCCCTTTGCATAGTTTGTGCAACATCCAACAGTCTCTATCCCTGGGCCGGGCCTCCTTCCTCTACCGGGGCGGGGGCTTGTGGGTGGCACCCTCTCCTGACACAGGCTGGATATGTGTGCTAAACCTACAGCGTGACAGACAGAGGTGACATGGAGTGTAAGGAATGCCCCAGCGCAAAGAGCCGGCACATGCACGTGTGCAACACCTCCCCAAAGAGCTTGCACGATGATTGGGCCTTTTAATCCATTAATCTCTAGCACTGTTCTCAGAGTGAGTGAGGTGTCTACTATATCCCCACAAAAAGGAGATAGCTTGATTCAGAAGTTAAGGCTGTAAATCAGGAGGCTTATTCAAGTTCCATTCACTACACAAGGCATTAGCAAAGACCCGAGATAGCTCAGGAAATGACTCTCGGTGCTAGGATACAGCAATAAACTAAATTGTTTAAAACATACAAGCAAACAAACAAACCAGAAAATGCTATTCAAATGGAGCCTTTATTTTTTTGGGGGGGACAAACAAAATGAAACAGAGAATAAATAGCATGTATGATGGTGGCAAAAATAAAACAAAAAAAATGAGATGGGGGTGTTTAGAGCAACTACAAGGATGGCTTTTGAACATGAAGAAGGTAAAGGGGAAGTGATGAGAAAATCTGAGGGGTCAGCCTTAGGCAGAGGAGACAGGAAAAGTGAAGGTCTTCAGGCAGGAGTGTGCCAGAAGTGTTCAAGGAGTGGCAGAGAGGGCGGAGAGGGTGGAACTATGTGTTGTAGGAGATGGGGCTGGGAAGATAACTGGAGGTTTTACAGAGATTTGAAGATACTGTATGAGTGGTGGCTTTTTCTCTAAATGAATGAAAGGAGTAGCGCCCACAGAAAAACAGTATTCAGAGGTAACGAGAGTATTAGAAACTGAAATTTTCTATGGCATCGCTGTCTTACGTAATCACCAGAAGACAAGCTGCTGACTTTGCTACCATGCTTTCTCCACTTCTGTGCATAAATATATCAGGAGGCACGTTGGAGAGAATATAAACATATCTTATTGGAAAACCAGTTCCAGGGGTGTACTCTCCAATGCTGGGGCCTGTGCAGTAGGAAGCAATGTTACAGAGGTAGAGGAAATCCAGTTAGTTGACTATAGTTTCCAGCACTTGGGACTAAGCTCAAAATCCAGCTGTCCTTTACTCTGCTTTCTTGCCCACCCCACAGGACATAATCATGGTTCCCTCTCTTGTTTGTCCACCTATTTTCAATTAATGGCAGGGACCATTAATGTCACTCAGTTCTCAGTGATTTGCATGGCAGAGAATAGCAGAGAATGGAAAGGGGAAGAAAGGTCTTCCCAGGTAGATTGGCACATACGGGAAAGGAGACATTGCCTGGTGGGTGGGAAGAACTGGGCCACAAGATGCACTGGAACATAGATCTTCCCGGTGTGGCTGGGCTGAGTGTTTGCCTTGGCACTCAGTACCACTCCCTCACCTTGGATGTGGTGGCTAGAGGCACGGGCCTAGAAGAAAGGGGAAGCTCTCATGTGTGTTGTGCCAACAGGGTGATGTGCAAACTGTTCTAGTTGCTGTGTGGAGCTCAGTCCGTTAGCCTCTGGTACAAAAAAATTAGGCTTATTATTACTTTTGAGGTAGGACAAAAGGCTTTTGTTTTTATTGTTATGACCAATATTGCTCATTAAATGTAGGAATAATGCTATATGGTGATATTTTAAAAATAAGAATAATGCTATATGATAGGATTAATGCTGTATGATGGCATACGACTCCTTGCTCCTCCCAGAACACTCCTAGGGTAGGGGTAGGGACAGACTGTGAGAAAGAAATGACATTTACCATAAGCAGTGAGTACATGAATAGAACAGAACTCAGCAGTACTTACATGAATAGAACAGAAAGTAAATGTCCATGGTTGTTATTGGAAAGAGACATTACTGCATGCTAAAGTGAACACGAGATAGTTTAATGAAAGAGGTAGAATTTTGTGTGAGATTTGAAAGAACCTCAGATTTAGAGAAACAGAGATGAGAGAATAACAGGCAGTTGAACCGAAGGCTCTAGAGTAGAGGGAAAATGGGCAAGAGAAACTAACAAGTATTACAAAGGAAGAATCAAGATGCACAAATGCACAGGGAAAACAGAGGGGAAGCAAGAGACATCTCAAAGTTGTGAAAATCAGATCATTGAAGAAATGATGCCATTTACCAAAGCAGGGATTTCTGGAAGGGTGATTACTTTGGGGGAAATGACTTTGGGACCTGCTAAATGAAGGATGAGAACATATACAAGGGCATTGTCTGGTTTGAGAGAGGAGTAAGGGCTGAGAAATGTATCTGGAAGTCATTTGCGGGCCCATTAAATAATATGACTGTCCCAGCTCTGCACATATGAGCAGCAGACACATAGTCTGAGCCCTGCAAGTGCTCATGTCCAGCAAGTGGGAGGAAGAAGACACGGCCAATGTCTTGCAGTGCTGGCCCGCATGGTCTCAGTATGGTTAAAAGGCTCATAACAGCAAAAGGAGAAGGAGAGAAAGTCTGGAGAGTGGAGCACTGTTTCCTTGCTGCTGCCAAGAGAAACCAAGAGGTAGTGCTGGGGATCATCTGTTGGGGACTTTTTTTTTTTTTTTTTTTTTTTTTTTTTTTAAGAGTAGGAAAAATTTATTGAGGGAAAGAAAGCTTCTGTCTAAGAGAGACAGAAGGGGCACTGGAAAGTGGGTTGCCCCCTCACCCCACTTCTCCAAGATGTTTTATACAGCAAAGCTATGTGGTGAGGCAGGAATAAAGTGGGACAAAACTGTAAGACCCAATGGAAAATTACAAGGTGGGCATGCAGTGAGGCAAAACCACGACCAACCAATAAGATTACAAATACACTCACCCAGGTAATATTGATTAAATGGGGATCAAATGGGGAAGCAAATCACATAGCAAGCATACAAGGATTTTTCAATAAGGGTGGGAGTCAGGGATATTTCCTGGAAAGGCTGGGTTAAGACCCTGCCCCCCCCACGTGATTGATACCTATTTAGAACATCATCACTGCTAAGGTATAGTAGTTTCTCTCCTTTTATAATTCTGGCTTCAGTAAGATACAAATTCCTACACCCCACACTGGACCTCTTGAGTCAAGGCTGTAGTTGACAGGCCTTGGAAACTGAGTTTTCATAGGTGATTTGATCAAGCCAGTCTATGATCAGTGTTTGTGAACCACTGGTAGGTGATAAAAAGTGAGAAATAGGATTTACCGGAGAAGATAGGATGGCTGAGGAAATTTCTTGGTAGTTTTTCCTTTTCTTATTCTTCTTTATCTTCTTGTCCCTCTTCTTTCTCCTCTTCCTTCTTTTTTATTATAGAGTAGAGGAATCCCAAGATTTTTTTCCAGGCCTTGAGGAAAATAGTTTCATTTAAAGGATAAGTGACACATGAGCCAGTCAAGTGTCCCCATGGGAGAGTAGGAGAGGGAATTCCTAGCCAGACAGGTGAGGAGGAGCCTGGGAAGAGTTGGCCAGGTGGTCAGAGGAGCTCAAAGTGAAAATTCAAGGAAATAAGGTGACTTCTGCATTCTAGACTGATTCCAAATGAAGCTCTATATATTCTTTGGAAATTGATTCACTTTACCTAAGAACTTTGCAGAGGCCTCCTTAGGACTTTGTTGAGCAAGTTACACAGTGCTTTCATCATGCCAGCTACCAGGGAAATGTAGGTTATGAAAGGGTAGAATTATGAAATGACACAAGACACGCGGTTAAATGTGAGCTTATCTTTCGAAAGTTTCGATTTCACAGCTTCTGAGGAGATGCACTCTGCATGTCGCTTTGTGCCTGAGTTTTCAGGAGACTGGTGCTAAAAGGCAGGATTCACCAAGTGCCTGCTGAACCCCAGGCAGCATCCTGTGGAGTCACACTTGGGGGTGGAGGGAAACATGCTGGCGACTGGGCCTCAGAGCATGTGAAAATGGGTTTTTGGCACTGTGGCAGAAAATATCTGGTCACCTGCCACACTTTTCTACAGAGGGCCAAGTGGGCTCTGTGTGAAACTCACATCTGAATTCCCCTCCTCCTGCCTTCTCCGTCCCACTACCCAGTGTTTCCGCACAGTCCCACTGCCTCTATGATGCACAAGTTCCATTAGCATGTTCTAATAAAGGTAGTAAACTTAGGGGTCCAAAGAGTGAATAACAACCACTACGTCTTAAGTGCATTTTTATCTAGCATCTCTCTTTGGGATTTGAACCCATGTCTGTCTGATACCAAAGCCAAAGTTCTTAGCCCAAAATTGATGAAATAATAGGTGGAAATGTAGTTAACTAGAAGAGGCAGACTTGGGAATTTACTCATTCAGGCTGCTCTGTGATTTTTCGTTGCAGGCCTGGCAAGGCATTTTTCAAATAATCTCAGTTTAAATGCTTGCTTGGAGGACTCAGGGGCATTGTTGTCTTCCTCCCCTGCAGTCAGCTGGGTGAGCCCTAGAAGTCGGTAGTGATCTAGAACAGGAGGAAGAGGCTGAGGCTGGCCTTGACCTGAGACACGCATCTCAGAATCTGATGCTCAGAAAGATTATTCATTCACTCATTCAGTCAACAAACAGCCCACACACAGCATGCCTTTGTGTGCCAAGCCAGTGTTTGTGTTGGAAACAGAGATGTGGGAGTATCCAGGCTTAGGAAGGGACACTCACAAGAAGACAGGACCCTTTGGAGTCATCCATTCATGACAGGTGGACGTTAAGATGAGGGCCCCAACTCAGACCACGAGATGAGCAGAAGGTATTATTGTCCGTAAGCTGGAGCTTATCTCAGGACAGAGGGAGAACTTCGTAGGCTTTTGGGAATCAGGCTAGAAGAATGGTACCTACCTAGGCTTCTAGTCTATGTGGGTGTTGGTGACTGCAGTTTCTTGCTTATGGGAAAAAAAATGTGAAAAGAGAAGTGCCTCTGACAGTCATATGGCAAGAGTGTGAATATTTGACACTGTGCCAGCCCAGAAAGAGAAAGAGAAAGAGAAAGAGCTCAGCTCTGAGGATCTTTCTTTTTTTGGTATGGGTTTTGAACCCAGGGCCTTCACACTGAGCTACATATCTAGCCATTTTTATTTTTCTTTTAAAACAAGATCTTGCTAAATTGTTAAGTTGTCCTGGCTGGCTTGAGCTTGTGATCTTCCTGTCTCAGCTTCTCACAGTGCTGTGCTTCCAGGGGCCACCACACTCAAGGTGACTTAACTGAAGATCCTTCCCACAATTTTCTGAGTGATTTTAGGCAAGGTGCTTAACTCTGAACCTGAGTTTGTTTATTCATAAAGAGGGAGATAAGAATACCTATCCTGGTGGGTTGTTGGGGAAATTCATGAGCAGTGAATGAGAGTGTTCGGTACTGTTTCTAGCAAATGCTCAGGAGAGGCTGCTGGCTGAGGCGTGGGCAGCGCTTGCTTACCAAGGACTGGGCCTTGTTGTGTGGCTGTGGTTCTCAAACTGCTGGATGACTTGGCTTCCCACTGAACGCGGGACGTTTTAGATTATCGCAACCGGGGGAGCGCTACTGGCACTTAATGGGTAGAGACCAAGGGCGATGGTGAATGTCCTACAATGTACAGGACAGCATTCCACAACCGAATTCTGACATTCAACCCATTACCCTAGGTTAAACGGTCTTTTGTGGGAATTGACCAAAGGACTGTGTATGTGGGGTGCTGAGAGGTTTCCTTTGTCCCGTGCCAGCACTCCCTAAACTCCAGTGAGCATCCAGATCATTCGAAGAGCAGAACAGAGATGCAGACTCTCAGGCTGCACCCTGAATGATTCAGATGCAGCTGTGCTTGACACTCAACACCGCCCCCGAAGGAAGGGTCCATACGATGTCGTAACACTTAATGTTTTCCAGTGTGCTTTCTGAATGTCAGAAAGTACTGCGTACAGAGCTGGACACAATTGTAGGATGTTCTCTTGGGGACAGAGGTTTAGCACAAAAGTTTCTGAGTCTGGAAGTCACACTGTCTCCCTGATCCCACGTCTATAGGCTTGGTTCTAGATTTTTTTCCATAGGACGATGGGGCAGCTGCAGGCGGCTGGCAGCTCATCACCTCCAGTCAAAACTGGGCCCGTCACACCATCCTCTCCCCACACCCATACTTGTGTCTTAGAACGCGGCCCTCATTGCCGCCTCAGGCAGCCAACTACCCAGACCCCAAACCTAGACCTCTCTGGAATCTGCCTTCCCCGACTTGTGCAGCCTGTCTCCAAGTTCTTTAAGTTTCTTTTTTCATCACATTTCTCATGGTCACCAACGTCATTGCCCCCACAGCTCTTCCAGTTCAGTTCTTTATTCCTCGGGCTCAGACTGTGGGATAACATGTCTGGGCTGAGGCCCTCAACCCTTCCCTCCAATGGCGCCAGCCAGCGAAATCATGTGAATAAAATGGGATCCATTTTATTTAGTTTATGATTCACTCGTGGGTATTTGTGGAGCACCACACCGGGCAGGGCACTGTCCTGTTCATACAAAGACAAGCACGCCTTATCGGCTTCCAAGCCGCCAACCTAGGCCTGTCTGTACCATCACAACCAGCCCTCCTTCCTCATCCTTACAATTTCTCTTCATAGCCTCGCAGCTCTTTGGCTTGCTAAGGTCCACACTTTGCTCATTCCTACCTCTATAACTTTGTCACGCTCTACTTTACTCAAGGCGTTACTCTCCTTTAGCCACATACCTAACTCCTATTCATCTTTCTAAGCCTATTTGAAATCTCATTTCCTCCGTGCATGCTTCCCTGAGCGTCCCCATGCAAGACGATTTCTCTTATCATCCCGTCTCACAGTATCTAACGCAACCGTTCTTTTCAGATCTGCAACTCAACATGTGCACATACAGATTCACTTTAATGCGTGTCCAGGAGGGGAAAAGAAGTTGCAATCTGGAGCAGTGCATCCTGCAGAACTTAGTCCTTCTGGGTGGCACGGTTGCTGTGGACATGAAATAGGCATCAGTCTGCCAGTTATACTTTTAAATTCCTGTGGATGAATCTCAGAGCCCAGATCAGCAGGCTATGTGCCTGCCTTACCCACTTGGACCAAGCAAGTATTGCTTCTCAGAATGGCCAAAGCCCACAGGGGCCCTAGTTAATATCTGTTTGGCAATAATTCCAAGAATTTCTGAGTTTGTCCTTCCCTGATGCTTCCCAGAGTTCTGTCAGCTAAGGAGAAGGAGGAATCATTTAACCGGAGCGGATGTTTATTAACTGAGTACTGTGCAGCGGGCACTTCGCTAAGTGCTCTGCGTGCTTTATCTTGTTCAGCCCTCAGTAACCGCGTGCGGCAGGGACTGCTACAGCAGCTTGGTTTTATGTGTGAAGACACGGAGGCTAAGAGAGGTACGGTGGCTTGCCAAGTTCACACAGCTGGTGGCAAGTGTGGGCAGGGAGCTCAGGTCTATTTGTTTCCGTGCATAACTCTTAAGTCTTCTGGGCATGCAAGGGCTGGCTATAAAAAGTATCAAGGTTGTCCAAAGCTTCCCAGATTTCAGATGTACCCTGGAATGTACAACCTTTGCCATCTGAAAACTTTATATTGAAATGAGGATTATTTTAGAAATGACATCGTTCCAGCTGAAAAGACACTTGGTCATATTTAGTAAAAGAAGATTTAAAAGTAATGGCTGCTCAGTTCTGATCTTAGTCTATGCTGAAGGCCCAGCTTTGGACAGCTGATAAGATAGTGTGCAAAAGGTCATGCACATTACAGTGTTTTCTAGGAAAACTGGTGGGTGAAAGGCTTCCTGAGAAATTTCACAGTGGAAGTGAACAATCCTGTCAGTTGTATTTTATGGCAAATAACAAAATCTTGTCTTCTAGAGACATGCTCTTCGCCCCTTGTTGATAGTTTTTCTCAATCCAGGTGGCCTGAAATATCTGATGTTTGAAATTCTCAGCATTTCAGATTTCCATTGGCATGAAGGGTAAGAAATATTCCAGGTCTTTTAAGGCCCAGACTCATGTGGCCTAGAGAAGGAATTGTATCCATTGCCAGAGGCCCAGATTTTCACTGAAAAGGCAATGTGGTACGGATAGCAGTTGCATAATTTTTAAATTCACTGTTATTTGGGTTTATAAAAAAAAATCTACATTTTGAGAACATAACTGAGATGAAGTGAGCCAACATTTTGATCCAGAAAAAGACTCAGGAAAAAGATGGGCACTGTTGACTCATGCCGGTAATTCCATCTACTCGAGAGGTTGAGGCAGTAAGATTGCAAGCTCCAGGCAAGCTGGGTAACTTAGTGAGACCCTATCTCAAAAGGAAATATTTTTAAAAGGGCTGGATATGTTGCTCAGTGGTAGAGTACTTGACAAGCATACATAAGGCCCTGGGTTCAAGTCCTAATGCTGCAAAAGAAAAAAAAAAAA